ACAATTCAGTATGGTACGTCTTAAAACACGGTACAACACAAAGACCCGCGAAAGCTACCATAATGGCGCGTCGTACAGGAAGATGACATCCGCAAAAAGCCACTATAATGGCGCATAGTGCCTAAGAGGTTAAAGAGGATGTACATCGGGCAGTATAACATTATATTGGGTTAGGGAATAGGTTCGTAGCGTTCTTACCGAAGACTTTTATTTAAACAAACAACAATAATTATATCAATAAGTTAATCAATTATAGAATCGTTTTATGCTCGCAGTTCATTTTTTCCGCCAATTCACGACTGGTTTGGCGACCGTTCTCCTTCAAAAGTGATTTGAGACGTTCTTCATCGAATTCAGGTTCTTCAGAATTTTAAACTCGGTTTGACCAGAAATACGACGCGTTTATCTCTTCACTTCATCTCACTTACGCACTTTATTCGGTATTGATAATTGAAATTAAAAGTGAGTTCGATTAAAAGCCGGTCTCGTAAAGACGCGATATAAATACAAACTGGATTTTACGGACGGTCGATCAGGCGGACGTCGGATTATTCATTAAGTCGCGATAATGACAACTCTTTTCGGCGTGGCGTCGGTGATCTTCTGAGAGCCGAGGCCTCCTCGTGATTAATTGACTCGCCGGGCTTCGTTAGAGCCGGGCCACGGACGGCGTTTTCAAGAGCCGATGAAAAATGAGGTGTCGCGAACCGCGAAGGCTGCACTCGATCAATCGTTGCACCCCGATACGGTAGCCAATGACCGTTCCCTCGGGTCCGTTCCGTCTGCGATCAACTTATTTCGAAAACGAATCGAACCGTGCCAGTCTCCCAAGAGTGGCCACTTCACTTCGCACCGTCGTTTCTTTGTTCTTCGCCGTAAACGTCTCGAGGACGTCTCCCGACGTGTTTCTGCCTTTGCGAGACGCAAAAATCACGTTTCTCATTTTTGTATTTCGTCATCGATGTAATTGAGCCCAGACACTCCTTAATAATTTTCTCGTTCAATTAACTATCTTAACACTAGAAAGACTGAAACTTAGTATATACCTATATTGCCCAAAAG